TTCTGAGAAGTGTAAGGTAAAGGGCCCCTGGACGGTTAAGTCCAGTCAAAGGCGACTATGGGGGTATGGTGCTCATCTCACTTTCAGGTGGATGGAGCTGGCGTTTGTCCACAGACAGCTTTCCGGGTCATGCGGCCAGCATGACTGGTCACTACTGGCGCAATGGAACACCATGACGGAAGCCAGAGTGCACAGAAACACGGTTTACCTTCCCGCCACAGCGGTATCTATCTACTTGTACTGGTGTGCTTTCGAACTCCTAGGTTGGCAGGAGCTGGGACAGAGCAACGGGAGCTCACTCCGTTGTGGGGATTCGAACCGCCAACCTTCCGATCGGCAAGTCCAAGAGGCTTAGTGGTGTAGCTCTGTAAGGAGAATAGAGTCTTCTAACAACTCTCAGCATTCTGACCAAACTACAGCTCCCAGGATTTTGTGGGCACGACTGTTTCAAGAGGTCTTGTACCAGAGGTATTACTTGTGCCCAAGACTGGGGGGCCCAGCACGTGTTGTGTGAGTGTGACATCGTGCGCATGACGCTTGATGCATGTGCTATGTTGCATCAGCGGAAGGGATGGGAGCGCAGAGGGTGTGTTTGCAAGCTGGAGGCTGGTGTGTTTGGGGCCGCTCGATATTGGGGGGGGCTTGGCCCCCTGCCAGCAAATATTGGGGGGGGGCAAGCCCCTTCCGTCCCTGCCTCTTGCTTCAGCCCACTAAACCATCTCACATTTCCCTGAACCCCCATGGAATTTCTGCTCCCATTTTAATTTCTGATGGAATCGTCTGACATCTCTATCAGGGCAGTGCTCTGCTTATAAAGCCAACTGGGTTCCCCTCCCCTCCCAGGGTGGTGGGGAGCCTGGTATCAGTTCCTACCATGTATTAAATGTAGGGGTGGGAGAGTGTCATACCAGCTGAAGAGAGAGGTGGTTTTCTCTGCCTTAAAGCTTTTGTTGACCCATCGAGGGCGGGTCCCCTCGCCTCCCTGCCCCCACCATCCCCACAGCAACACCACCTATAGCAACAGCAGCAGAGTGTTGGAGGAGATCACCTCCTCCCCTCTCAGTTAGCCAAGGTAAAGCTTGGAATTGTCACCGGAGAGGGTTCTTTTTATTCTCTGCTTCCGCTGCTGAAATTTTTAATGCTGCATTATGCATTCTACTTTGCGGTTTAGAATTGTACCTTTATATGGTTTTTTTTATTGTTACTGTAAGCTGCTCGGGGTACTTGGTTAATGGGTGGCACATAAATACTATTAATTAATGAATGAATATGTAAATCTCGGGCTGCTCTCTGCTGGCAGTGTGGCTGGGGAATTAGAGTGGAAAAACGGTGAGGGGAAGGGTTTGGGAGAGAGAGAAAAGGGAATCTCCACCTGTTTAAACTAGGCTAGGTGGTGCGATAGACAGCAGGTGTCTGTTGAAGCAGGGGAGAAATTGCTCAGGAAGAAACCTGAGTGGTGTGCCCCTCCTGTGACGGTTTCTTCAGGTGTAGCTCTGCTGCAAGAGACAAAGGGGAGGAGGTGGCAGGAGGATGCTAAGATTGGAGGGGTTTTCCACCACTCTCCCCCTCTGTCTGAGAGTTCTGACTAAAGCCCAGAGAAAGCTGGAACTTTGGTATAAGGACTGATAATTTGGCAATTCTGGTATGACTTGTTGTTGGCATCTGTCTGTCTCGGGTGCCCATGGAGTGTGTCTTCAGGGGTAAAGTCAAACAGCTGCGATAGCAGCACCGAAATGCCCACCCTGGGGTGCAAGCCTGGATAGTGTGTATGGAGCTCCTGGGCTTCCCAGATGACTCACGGACATGGTCCAAAGGAAAGCAGAGCAATGTGTTTGGCACTAGTTAAGCTGCAGGAGTTGCTGGAAGGAGGCGTGCAAGATGCCATCCAACCATCTTAGGTAGGTGCACTCGCTCACAGAGTTAGAGACACAGCAGCAGCAGTCTGCTCAAAAGCATATAGCATCCTTGAGCTCCACCATGACTGCCTATCGCTAAGGTAAAGGGACCCCTGACCATTAGGTCTAGTTGTGACCGACTCTGGGGTTGCGGCGCTCATCTCGCTTTATTGGCCGAGGGAGCCGGTGTACAGCTTCCAGGTCATGTGGCCAGCATGACTAAGCTGCTTCTGGTGAACCAGAGCAGCGCACGGAAACGCCGTTTACCTTCCCGCTGCAGCAGTACCTATTTATCTACTTGCACTTTGACGTGCTTTCGAACTACCAGGTTGGCAGGAGCAGGGGCCGAGCAACGGGAGCTCACCCCGTCGCAGGGATTCAAACTGCCAGCCTTCTGATTGGTAAGTCCTAGGCTCTGGCTAGCCAGCTCCAAAAGCTCATGGCCCTTTTTCCTTCTCTGCCCATATTTTAAAACATTCAACCTGCTCCGTTCAACTTCACCTTGCAAGTTAGTACAACTTTCTTCCCCGATGGGCCATGGCCATTAAGGGCCATTAAGGAAGCACCAATAGGTAACTGTAAACCAGCAGGCTATGCAAGAACGTAGGGCATGGTGGTAAGCAATGTAAATATTGTTGAACTCCAATTCCCATCAGTCTCAGCCAGCACAGCCAATGGTCAGGAATGATGAGAGTTATAGTCCAGCAACATCTCGAAGGCACTGTGTTGGCTCCCCTGACCTAGAGAAAAGAACACATTCTTTTCACTTGGATAGCTCAGTTGATTAGAGCGTGGCGGTGATAAAGCCAAGGTTGCAGGTTCGATCCCCGTATATGACGGCTGCATATTCCTGCATTGCAAGGGATTGGGCTAGATGATCCTCAGGATCCCTTCCAACTCCACAATCCTATGAATCTATGAACAGAACAGCATATTCTGGAAACACTGCAACAATTCATTGGGCCATAGGTCATTGGTGAAGTACAGTGGTACCTCTGGTTACGTACTTAATTCATTCCGGAGGTCCGTTCTTAACCTGAAACTGTTCTTAACCTGAAGCACCACTTTAGCTAATGGGGCCTCCTGCTGCTGCCGCGCCACCGGAGCACGATTTTTGTTCTCATCCTGAAGCAAAGTTCTTAATCCGAGGTACTATTTCTGGGTTAGCAGAGTCTGTAACCTGAAGTGTATGTAACCTGAAGCGTATGTAACCCGAGGTACCACTGTACATGATTTTCAAACAGAAAAGCACAGATTCCACCCCTGTCATCTCCAGTAAAGAATGTCAGGTATCAGTTGTGAAAAAAGACTCCAACATGAGATCCTTGGAAGCCAATAAGGAATACTGAGCTAGATGGACCAGCGGACTGAGGTAGCTTCATATTTCCACTCCCACTTCCCACTGTCCTGGAAATAATCTTTGTCACATATATGCGTTGAATGCAATACTGCCTGTTGTGAAGGAGCAGCTTTGGCTGGAACACGGTAAAGTTTCGCATGGAAAGATGCTGTTCAGCCCACAAAAAAGGCCGAGGCACTTCATCCACACAGCTGCTGACTTCTGCTGTTTCACTGCTGCGCAGAAAATGCTTCCAGTGGTTTAAGGCAGAATGAGTAAGCAGCGAGATATGAAATAAAGTGGAAACATTATTGAAGCCCCAATCCACTTTAAACTTCCTGCGTGCTTGATTATCAGATGAACTGCAAGCACTTGACTCGAGGCATGTCTTGAGCGTGTGCACCGAGGTGGAAGGAATGGAAATAAAGAAAAAGATGACGGGGGACATAAAGGAATAAAAATGCCTTTGCCGTTCACCAATTTACCTTATTGTGCACAAAACAATGTCATTTTGTCAAAGGCTTCTCTCCTGAAATATCGTTTTAAATTTGATCTCAGATTATTTGGTCGGTATAAAAACTAGTGCTAATTTGGTCTGGATTGACGTGGATTCCATGTTTCCACAGTCCTTGCAAAGCACACTCAATCCTTTCCTACTAAATTAGGGACCTGGATGCAAATTCCATCCTTACACTCCATAACAATTTGACTAGATTTCCCCAGAGCACCATGGAAGAATGCGCTGTTCAGCCACAGTGAATTAACTGTACACTGTTCCTTAAGCACAACCCACCTTGCACATCCTCCACTTCCTATGTTCCCTTGCAGGCTTACATCAAGAGTCCTGCCAGAGAGCTAAATAAAGCCCCACAAACAACAGTTAATTTACCAACCCCTGTGTGAAGCCTAATTTCTGCTGTCACCATTCAACAGACAACACAGGAACAGAGATTCCACAGGTCCAAATGGTGCAATTGGGCAATCCCACAGAGTTGCCCTCCTGACAGCGATGCCAATGTCACACGCAGGAATTGTGGGGCCCGCACCTTTTCACCATTCCCATAAGTGACAGTGATGGCAGGTCTATGGGGCCACCTAGATCTGCTGGGGATTTCAACTTGGGACTTAACTGGATTCAAAATGTTGGTGGTGGCGTGATGTGCTTTATGTGTACTAGTTATGGCCTCTGCCAGCTAGTTCCAAGTGGACCAGGGGGATGCAATGTTTTCACGCCCTCCTGGGAGGAAAAACATTTGCTCCCAGTGCAAATTACAGCTTTGGCTTCCAGGGCTCTCTGCTCACGTGCAGAATCTCATTCTCCGCACCGAGAGCATTTGAAGAACATAATATTTGATTCTTATAGCGGCTGGGAAGGGCCATGGCTCAGTGGCAGAGCACAAGTGCTGAATGCAAAAGGTCCCAGGTTCAATCCTTGACATCTCCACATGGGACTGAGAAGGACCCTTGCTTGAAACCTTGGACAGTCAGTGTCAACCAGTGTCAACAATACTGGCCTAGATGGACTTCCCATAAGGCAGTGGTTCTCAACCTGTGGGTCCCCAGATGTTGTTGGACTACAACTCCCATCATCCCTGAGCTTTGGCCTTGCTAGCTAGGGGTGATGGGAATTGTAGTTCAACAACATCTGGGGACCCACAGGTTGAGAAAGGCTGCCATAAGGCATCTTCCTATGTCCCTACAGAAATCAGTGTGGATAAGTTGCAAGTTTGGGCAACGACACTAGTAGTAATATTAAAAAGCCTTACCTGCTTCTGAAGCAGTGTCTGTGTTTCTCTGCATTCGTCCAGCCTGGTTTGCAGTCGTGCTCACTGGGATCTTTTTCACTGGCGGTGGCTTTTTAGAAACAGGAGGACTTGCCTTCAGACGTTTGGTAATAGTGTCCACTGCCTCATCTAGGGACTTGTCTACATACCAGGTTAGATTGGATAGGATTGTTCCTGCTTTGACCTCCAGCATGGATTCTGTGAGCTCTTGCAAGCCTTTCTGAAATAGCAAGTTGTCTGGTTGAGCAGCTTTCACTAACCTGGGGATGCTGGCATTCATTCCCTTCAGGCTTCCGGAGACAACCTCACACAAGCTCCGTGCTTCATAGGCAGTCTTGTTTAACACAGGGATGGTCACAGAGAAGCGTATGGATTTGGCTTCTAGCGCCCTGATTCTGGAACTCAAGGCCTGAACCTGAAGAGAGATCACTTTATCCTTTTCCGTGGAAGCAGCTTTGATGTTTCTTACTGTGACGCAGTTGTTTGCTAAAAACTTGGTTATTTTTGCTTCCACTGCCGCCAGGCGACCTTCATAATCTTCATGTTCCTGAGTGGAGCGTGACCCCTTTCCATCCAGGTGGCCAATGTCACGATGATGCTCTTGCAGGTTTAACGTTGCATTTAGATTATGGCGAACTATGCTGAGATCACCAGATGATGAAGAAGAAGAATGGATTGCATTTGAAGTAAAGACACCTTTCCTGTTCTCATTGACTAGCACCTGAAGGGATTCATTCATCTCTTGAAACCGAGGTATTAATGTCAATATGCTTTCCATCTTCTCAGCGCTACTGCAGCAGGCCTTCGTTTCATTCTTCATGGTACTCAATGTTTCTTTGAGCACATAGTTATCCTGGATAGTATCAATGGCACTGTTGATAACCATCATGGTCTTGTTTAAGCCATCCTCCATTAAAATGAAACATTCATTAATACGCCTCTCAGAGATTTCATTGTAAGCCTGAGCCTCATCTTTAAGCTCCTTCTTGCTTTTGACGAGTTCTTCAGTGGTGGAACTTAGTCCTGCCACAACACTGGTTAAATTTTCCAGCTTTCTGCTTATAGCTTCCATTGCAATCTGTTGCTCATATTCCGATGTAAGGCTGAAGGGAACCCCTTGCTCAATCAAGGGTTGGAGGATCTCCATATCGTAACAGAGGTCATTAATTTGCTCGTTCATCTTGTCCATCTTATCATCCAAAGGAAACACAAGGTTCTCCATGCTTTTATTTAAGGAGTGCATGTTCTCTTCCATGCCCTTCAGTCGTGTTTGGAAGTCCCGCCGGCATTTGGACAATATGCTGCTGCACTCTCCATGTAAGTTATCTCTCTGGATCTCCAACGCTACGGTGAGGTTACTGATCTTGCTGTCTTGGACTCTGAGGTCATCATAGAGCTGCAGAACCATCAGACTCTGTGTTTTCACTTTCTCGTGAAGACCAACCATGTAATCTGTAAGGTTATCGGTTATTGAGTTCCCTGCTGTTGGGATGTTCTGGTCTGAGATCCGTTCTGCTGTCAACAGCTGTTCATGCACTTCTTTCATTTGAGTCAGAGTCCTGTTCAGAGATTCATAGTATATGTTGCTCCTTGAACTTTGATGCTCCAAGGCTGCTTCTATTGACCTCTGATGTTCCTGCAGGTCTTCAATTGGCTTCTCACATGTAATGCTTATATCCTCTTCAATATGGAGGATCTGGGTCCTTATATCTAGGATTTCTATCCTCGTGGGCCTGCTTTCTATATCTGCAGCCAATTTGTTGTGAGAAGCATTCAAGCTTTTGATCATTTGTTTGATGTTCTCAAGATCTGCAGACAGACCAGACGTAATCTTGAAAATCTGGGCCACTGTCTCTTGTGTTTCACTCTGGGATGCTTTCACCTGCTCTCTTACAATTTCTTTGACTAGCTCAGCAATGCTTTTGGACTTGAGATCTAGAGGGGGGGGAAGACACAATGCCTTAATAAATAAAGAGCAGGTTGGAAAGAAAGGGAAGCAAAAATTCAATACTTAAGCATTATGTATGTATCTATGTTTGTATAGCAGTCACACTCTCCCCACCTCTTATGCGGCAGATTATGTCAGTTGCTGAATCTCAAGAGGGTTCTGTGTTTGAATAGTGCTTGTGCTAGTTGCTCTCATCCTTTTAATCAGTTTTGCTGTCCTGAGGGAGAAGCCATAATATGCTGTTCCCTGCAATTATAGACTACTATGACAGGGTGAAATGTAACCATGGCTTCTAGCTTAGTAGACCATAGATTTAAAAGACCTATCACTCAGGCAGATACACCGTGAACTTTCCAGGAAAACGGTGGACTGTCAGGAAGACAGCAGAGGCTCTCAAGATATTTTAATTGTCAGCCACCTAATTAGCACTGAAAGCACCTCCTGAATTTTGTTATTTCGAAGTGAAAAAGAAAACAGAGATAGTCTGCCCTGCCTTTTTCAAGAGGGTGCAAGTGAACTTCTTTTTTTTTGGGGGGGGAGCATGCAGTAGCATCCTGTAATGTCTTAAAGGCAGACACATTTTTTGTGGCCCATGATTGAATAGGCTGGAATCTACTTATTAGATCAGCCGTCACCAACCCAGTGCTTGTGAACCCCATGGTGTTGCCAAAGTCTTCCACTGTGCTCCTGGGCAGGTGCCCCAGACTCTGAAATTTCATTTAAAATAATAAATAAATAAATAAATCAAGTTTCTAGCTCTCCTAGAAAGAAAGTTATGGTCCAAAATGTGCAGGCACCTTCTAAGCGGTGATACTGGTACTGAATACTGAGGAATGCTCCCTGCTGCTGTTGGACAACAACAGCATCAGTGTGCATGCACACATGTGTAAAATGAATATTTTGTGATCTCCACAAGCAGGACCAGAAGGTCACAGCTGACTTCTGATGGTGAGCATAAGGTTGTTGGGGACGGTTGTGTCTTTAATGCCGTGTGATGCCACTGCTACCCCAGCTGCTGTTTTGTGGCTGGCGCCCCCAGTACTCTCTCAAAATGTGCCCAGCATTCCGAAAAGGTTGCCAACCCCCGTATTATTATGGGTCTGATGAAGCATGTTCCAGACTACAAAAGGCTGTGACCCAATAAATGTCTTAAGATGCTGGAGCTCGCAAGCACAGCTAATGTGCAAGGTAAAATGAATTGTAGCCCAAGAAGATCTGGTGGGCACTACACTGGCATCTCCTGCCATACCACAATGACTCTCCGCAGGAAAGTGGCAATGAAGCAGCAGTTCTTGTTGGAAATACACTGAAAAGGATATACCAAGAACTCTGGCCACAAGTTTCAATATAAGGAATAATTCCTACTCGAGAGTTGAAAAGAAAAACGTGTATATTCTGCTAAGAATAACAGTTTGAGGCTAATAGTAAATTTAAACACAACGTGTAAGTACGATAGTTTTAAGGTAATAGTAAATTTAGATAACGTTTAAGTGCAAAAATAATGTAGTTTCAAATATGCAGTGATATAGTATAAAGGTACATAAAATACCAGTACACAACAATTGTTTTATACAAGTCTCAATGGCAGTCAAAAAGAGTTCATATTATATATCAAATAGGGCCAAAAAGGAGTATCCGGAGTGTGAATCAGATGACGACTCAGTAATGGTGACCAGGACAGTTGTGTACTGGTATTTTATGTACCTTTATACTATATCACTGCATATTTGAAACTACATTATTTTTGCACTTAAACGTTGTATCTAAATTTACTATTACCTTAAAACTATCGTACTTACACGTTGTGTTTAAATTTACTATTAGCCTCAAACTGTTATTCTTAGCAGAATATACACGTTTTTCTTTTCAACTCTCGAGTAGGAATTATTCCTTATATTGAAACTTGTGGCCAGAGTTCTTGGTATATCCTTTTCAATGAAGCAGCAGTGGCAGGAGCAATATTATCCCCCACACCTCCAAAGGTCAAGAACTCCATACTGAAGAATTAGAAAGCCATATTAGAAGGAATAAGGGACATTTCACTATTCCCTTCTACGTGTAGCCTGAAACAGGGGGCAATGACTGTAGCCATCTTGAATATTTAGTTTCTGAGTATGAGTGACAAGCACCTGCAGTGCTCATATTTAGTTAAATGCAACAAAGCAGTGGCAGATGTATGTATTTATATACACTTTTATCCACCCTGTGTGAGAAAACCCTCTTCAGTTAGCGTACAGAGTACACAACAAACAAGTATAATTTAGATGAATTAGCTTTGATTTAGAAAGGCATCTGAGTTCAATCTATTCAGCTGCGTCTTTAATACCAATGATTATGGGTTAAAGTGACAATATGGTTGAATAGCAGTTTTTAAATAATAATAATAATAATAATAATAATAATAATAATAATAATGCTCTATCACATGGAAAAGAAAATGCAAAACAATGTATATCCATCTATATCTTTCATCTATGATCTATCTCTCTGTCTATCCAGGCATTGGTGTACAAAGCCATATACAGCTTGGGACCAGAATACTTTAAATATCCTCCCATTCCCAACATACTCAACTGATTGCTGCATTCTGCAGTACAAAACACCCTTCAGATACCATCATAATTCTGCACGATACCGAAATTGGAACTTTTGGAACTCCCTTCCACTTTATATCAGACAGAAGCCTTCTCTATTGCATTTTGGCATCTGCTAAAGATGTTCGTCTTCTCAGTGGAGGTCTATCCCAGCTGATATCTAAATTTGATTTTATGTAGGTGCTGTTGTTTTAATTGCTTTGGGGTGTTTTTTTTTAAAAAATGTTGTTCTAGATGTAACTGTTTAATATACGTTTTAATTATATTGTAAATCACTTTGGGATGCTTCGTGGGAAATATTCTACAGTACACTAAGTAGAAATTGAAGTTTTTAAGCTGGTATAATCATTAGTATAACAACATGACCAAAAAAATCGCAAACTTTCACCTAACCTGAGGCAGAAAAAGAAAAGGGGAAGAAAGAGAAGGTTTAACTAATCAGAATACAAGGAGGGATTTGTGACAGGAATTGCATGTGACCACATGATGTCGTAACAAAGACTTGTCTTGTGGGGGTCAATTAAAGAATTCCCTCATCTCTTGCCAAATCCTAAATCAGTGCTAATTGGCTAAAGAAACTTAAACAATCACTAATTGTTTAACAGAGTAAAAGCCACCCTGAACTAAAATGAAATAATCTCCTCAGAAGATTATGTTTCTGTGGGGCTCTACAGGCAGAAAAGCTCTGAAAGATGAGAAGAATTACATTAAAACCCATAACTTTGTACTTGTTTACTTATCCTGCTCTCCTCTAACAAAGCGTTCAATGTTTAGACAGCCTAGATTTATAAGACCCTTGGCCCAATTCTCCTTATTCCGAAACATTAACCCGAATGCAAGTACAGCAAAATATTTCAGCTGACAAGTGCAACAAAGCGCACAAAGGAAGGCAGGAAACTTTGAGCTCAGTGTCTGAAAGGGAAGCTTCATGGTGCTCCAAGGGCTCCAGGCACTTCACCTCAGTAATTCTTACAGCAGCTTATGAAGTAGGCTGCTGTTCTTGCCCCCATATAGGCTGAGATAAAGTGGTTTGCCTGAGGCCACCTACTGAGTTTGTAGCTGAGGTAGTATCTGAACCAGAACTCCCCAGACATCAGTTGGATATGTTGGGACTGAGATTATGCTTAAGGTATTCTGGACCCAAGTTGCATAGGGCTTTGCACACCTATCTGTACACCCAGGAGTTTTCCCTGTCTGTAGACTCCAGAAGTAGACTCCATCTGTAGACTATGGAAGTGAGAGATGGACCATAAAGAAGGCTGATTGCCGAAGAATTGATGCTTTTAAATTATGGTGCTGGAGGAGACTCTTGAGAGTCCCATGGACTGCAAGAAGAGCAAACCTATCCATTCTTAAGGAAATCTGCTCTGAGTGTGCACTGGAAGGAGAGATCCTGAAGCTGAGGCTCCAATACTTTGGCCACCTCATGAGAAGAGAAGACTCCCTGGAAAAGACCCTGATGTTGGGAAAGATGGAGGGCACAAGGAGAAGGGGATGACAGAGGATGAGATGGTTGGACAGTGTTCTCGAAGCTACCAGCATGAGTTTGACCAAACTGTGGGAGGCAGTGGAAGACAGGAGTGCCTGGCGTGCTCTGGTCCATGGGGTCACAAAGAGTCGGACATGACTAAACGACTAAACAACAGCAACAGACTCCAGGAGAGGCAGAGCAGCTTGGAATTAAGACACCCCCTCCACCACTACCACCCATATCAGGAGATACCTAGATGTATTTCTGTGCCAAAATGAATTTGTGTTCTCTGCCCTCTCCCTTTCTCTAACACACTGACAACTCAGCATGTAACCAGGGCCCCTTCTACACCATACATTTAAAGCACTATGATAGCACTTTAAAGAGTCATGGCATCCCTCAATGAATTCTGGGAGCTGCAGTGTGTTAAGGGGGCTGAGAGCATGTCATCTGAAGCATGTGGCAATGGAGGAAGCAGCCATTGAATGGCAAGGAACAAAGCCAGCTGAAATCCTCTTTTGTCTGTTTCTTGCAGGTGGCAAATGTGCTCTTAGATGGCATCTTTTGGAAAGTCCTGAGGTTGCTGATTTTTTTTGAAACAACAACAGCACAGTGATCTTCTAATAAAATTATCTATATAAGGAGCTGCTGCATTGGAAGCGATAATAGTTACTGAAATGCAGTTGAGTTTTGAGCACTTGCGTGTGTTTTCTGTTTGAAAAAGCAGCAAAGCCAAAGAATAACAGCAGATTTTTAGGGAAAGGGGGTGGGAGAGAAGTCAGTCTTGACATGCATATTGCATCTTGTGAAATAGCCCAGCAAACTCTTCTGCTGCTTAGATGAAGAGGTTGCCAGAGGGTTTTCCAGCTGAGTAATATAATGGGAAGTAGGTGGTGGAGGAGGGTGATTTTCTTAAAGATGCGATTTCATAAGGTGGCACGCGCATCACTTGGCCATGTACTCATTCATTTAAAACAAGGTGGATTACAGGTGTTTTCGTATTTCCAAAAAAAATGCAAAGAAGAAAATCAAAACAGTTGTCACTTCTCTCTTAATTTCCATATGAAAAGAAATCACATATTGAATATTCTCTTAAACTGCCAGGGCATTCCCTTCTTTCTTTTTTACAAGAAAACAAGTGAGAGATTCCATGACTAGGGTCAAGCTTACATGGCTCTTTCATTCAGCAGCAACCTCATTGTTCTTTCTGCCTAGCTATGTGTCTTCATTGAGTTTAATGGTGGCATGTCACAGCTAGACATTCATCCTCCTGCCACCCACCAAGGCTCGCAGAAGTCATCACCCCCCTCTCTCCCAGCTCTCCTCAATTTGACTTTTAATGGAAGGGTGGAGAGGAATGAGGATGGTTCAGAGGTCCCCTTAGGTTATGCAAAGGTCATCTCTGAAAATAGGGTGGAAGGTTGCAAAGAACAAATGCAGAAGGCGGGACAGATCCAGCATAAATCTAATACAGGCAGAAAACAGGAAGGCAGGAAGTAGAAGGGCACTCTTAAGTAAAGAAAGGCACTGAGGCCTCCAAGCTTGGCTTAGGCTACATTAGCGTAGGCTAAGCTCTCATAGAATCTCAGAATTGTAGGGTAGAGTTGGAAGGGATACGGGGAGTCATCTAGTCCAACTTTCTGCAATCCAGGAATCCAGAATCATGATACACCGATTAGTAAATTATATAGATACAGTAGTGTGATTTGAAGAAAGGGAGAGAGTGCCCAGAATGACAATTTACTGGGCCATTTTTTAATTTAAAAATTTACTATTAGTTTGTTTGTTTCTTCCCATGGAAAAATCCAAAAGCAATTTAACAATAAATCATGATTTAATCTCTGCTGAATCTGTATTGTCAGGGCTGGGCCGATGACACTCAAGGCTTGATTTCTCACTGTTGTCAAATGAGCCTCACCAATTCTGGGAATGACCAAACACCTATGCTTTGGACTCAGCTCACTAATATCAGGCAGACCTTGCGTTTGTACCATTTCTGATGCCTGCTAAAAACACTCTTGTTCAGGCAAGCTTCTCCAGACAGGTTATTTCATCATGTATATCTGCTGTTAAACTCTGTTGGTTTTACCTATATTTTGATCATTTTATTTATTGATTTTATTGGCATCTTCATATGACCATTTTATGCAATTTTATGTAAACCGCTTAGAGGTTTATTTATTCATTTTTAGATTGAGCACTCTATCAATCATATTCAATGAATGAATGAATGAATGAATGAATGAATTTAGAACTCATAGATGAGCAGGAATGAAGAAGAAAAAAAGACAAAATGAAATAGGCTACATTCTAGAGGCACATTCTGGCCAAAATGAAGGATGAGGAAGTGCGAATAGTTTCAACAAGGAAAGAGTGAAGCACATATCTAAACCTTGGGACATATGCCTAGAGAAGTGGGCATTGCCACAATGGAATACTCACAATTCTTTTGAACTCCAACTCCCATCAGCCCCTGCCAGGATGGCCAATGGTCAAGGAATGATAGGAACAGGAATCCAGCAATATCTGAAGGGCCATAACTTACCCATCTCTGTTTGCAGGATTCTATTTTGCAATCATGCTAGGACTGCATGAAAACTGAAAGTAATCACTGGACTGTAGGGGCGGGCATAAAGATGGAGAAAGAAGAATATAGAGAAGTGGAAATAAATCTTCCTTTGGGGGATAAGGAGCTGGAGAGAAAGAGATGCTGAGGTTGGGAATCAATCTTCTGTTGATAGAAGTGTTGCTCTGCAAGGCTGGCAGAACAGTGCAGAGAGCAGTACCCAAATATGCTGCAGAAAAAGGAAGCCTTTTCAAAGGAAAAATCACAATGCTACTTCACTAGCACAGTCTCCATGCATACACACACGCACAGTGTGCACTACTAGAAGGATCGAGTCCCGTCAAGTCCCCAGGCTTATAATGAAAAGCTAATAAAAGAAGCTAATAGTAGCACTTTCATAAAACAAAGTGGTCAGAAGGATAATGCAATTTGTAAATAACTCACATAAATCAAAGAGAAAGCCAGCAGACAGGGAGTGGATCCGAGGTTAGCCTGGGACAAGGCTGATGTAACATGGGAAGGAAATTTCATTTTAAAAGCATCTAAAGCAAAATGCTGCCTCTGTGGGGCCAGTGATACAAATCTGTAAGGAAGTTTGGTATCAGTGAATGATTTAGGAGCACAGAATGCTGGGGCACTGCTGAAACAAGTGAGTGTGGAAGTGATCTGTGTTTGGATGAGAGAAGCATGTAAACTGTGCTAAGCCTTCCATGGAAAGGCTGGAAATATGTCATAGAAACATGGAGTTGGAAGGAACCCTGAGTATTATCTAGTATAACCTCCTGCAATCCAGGGGAAGGAAGATAAGGCTGTAGCTCAGTCAGTAGAGCATAAGACTCTTAATCTCAGGTTCGTGGGTTCGAGCCCCACGTTGGGCAAAAGATTCCTGCATTGCAGGGGGTTGGACTAGATGACCCTCATGGTCCTCTCTGACTCTACGGTTCTGTGTTTCTTCGATGGGGTTCCAACAATTGACAGAGAGAGAGAGAGAGGCTCTTTCTAACATAGCAGCGGTTCACAGAGGGATTGTGAATTTGGGAAGTTGTTCAAGTAGATCATGGCTTGCTGTCTTCAAAGGGTCAAATGGATTGGGTTTCATATGATCATAGTAATTTTCTTTTGTGTGTGAGCATAGAACCTTACTGTGCAATTGACAATTTAAGTGAATCCAAATGCAGCAAGGAAGTGGGATAAGATCTGACAGTGGTTCTTGCAGAAGTACATGTGCAAGTAACAGATTAACCCGCAGGGAACACACAAAAATGGATGGGAAGGAAACTGACAGGAAATGGAAAATGTTCAAAGCCATATTGGACATATACCCAAGGGTCAAGAATGCCACATAGCAATAAAAAGCACCAGGGCGGGGGTGGGGCGGGGGGAGGAACAGGATGGATGGGAGAGGTGGTCTAAATATGACTGGGAAAAGCAGGGCTATTTGAGAGCAGTATCCAGAGCTCAGAAACTGCTGAGGCAAGTAAGGAATGGACCTGCAATGCATGAAGATGTCTCCAAGGGGCTTTTAGAGGCTCAAAGGTATGCTATTTCTGCATTACTACTCAAAGGCAATAGACATTCGAACACAATATGCAGCACAACGAAGACCCAGGGACAAAATTCAATTGACGACAAACAAAGCGAACTGCTGAATGAAGATCCAGCATGTTATGTACTGAAGTTCTCACCCTGGGCCAGCAGGGGGATACTGTAGATAGTTATGCAAATGAAGGATCGAAAGTGACATTCAGTGATTGGATAGTTTTAGAAAGTTGCTACAGTAACGTTGTACTGGAGCTCTATATAAGCAGGCTGACTGAGCCCTTCAGCTCAGTTCTGTTCTGGCCTCTGAATAAAGAAGAGCTGTTTGAAGAATCCCTGTGTCGTCTGATATGTTCACCCACAACTTAACACAGCACATTACTTGGGACCTTTGCAGATGCAATGTGCCCGCTTGTAATCACATGCGTGGCAGCACGTTCTTCTAAGCTGAGCTTGCCGTCCAGACTGTGGATTCTGCCCACTCATGAAACTGGGTGGGCAAGAAAGTGAGACATTCCCAGGGGGCGGACCCAACTGGGCCTACAGGCTTCTCTTGGATCCGCCCCTTTGAATAAAAAGGGCCCCACCTCCTACTTCAACAACCACTTTGTCATCGGATCCTCCACCCTCCCTCTCTGTTCTGCTGCTGTGTTTGGTGATGAAGACCCTGCTATGGATTTTGTCGGCTGCTATATTTGGGGACGGGTAGGAATTTTCCCACTTGGCAAATTGGCACCAACTTGGTGGTTTTCACCTTCTTCATAGCAATCATCACAACTCTGAAAAAAGGAGGTGTCCCGTTAAAGGGGTCCAAGGGAGATGCTTCTGTCCAGATGCCCAGATGGGGGCTAGGGCCACAGCACTCCCCAGGTGACAACCCAGCGAGGGAGATGCTATTTGATGTAGATCATAGGACACCCTCACTTCCGGTTGACCCCAGTGAGTGGGCAGGAAGTGGTAGCTTTACCCAATGCCTATACCAAACCTCTTTACATCTGTAGTCAATAAAGTTGTAGCCTGATTTGACCCAAATACGCCTAGTCATGCCCCTTTAAATACTGTTTTAAGATGAGAGGGGGCACTTACGTACACAACTACAAAAACTCTGCGCAACCTGTTCGTCTAGGGATGGGATGAGCATCCACGACAGGAGTGCTAAAGGCTTTATCATTCCACCTTCAACACTTTGGCTTGTGGGGTACGCCCAATCACCTTTTTCTTCTTCTTCTTTCTTTTTAAGTAACAGAACAAAGGAAAACCTACTTCCCTGGCAGAATGTGGAATAATGGAACAGGACAGCCTAAGTCCATTTCTAATAGTTTCTTTCTCTCTTTTTCCTCCTCTTTTTCTTTCCCTGGCACTTTTAACTGGGTGAGTGATTGCATTAATTTCTTTCTTTTACCTTTTAGAAAAGCCTGGAAGTCTCTGCCCTTATCTTCATTGATTTTGCCTTCCAGAGAGGAGAGTGTCTCGCTCACATCACTCACGACGGCAGAAATGTTGTCAACCTTCTTCTGTAGCAAAGTCAGTCTCATCTCCTGGCTGCTAATCTGCTCATTCATTTTTTGCGCAACTGCTAGGTCAGGGTTAGTGGGAGGGAGAATGGAATAAAAGGAGAGGGAAGAAAGAAAGTCACTAAATTAAATTGCCAAAAAAAAAAAAAAAGCAAGCACAGAAACAAATTCCACGAGCAATTGCCAGAAACGAAAAGTTTCTGCAGTCATTAATAAGAATGGGCCATTCTGATTTTTGTCATGTATCTTCAGCTATGAGTGACATTCATGCAAGCACAGCAGCAAATAATTGCTGAATAATCCATATTCATTATAGAGTAGTTATAATTCCAGGAGAGTATATGGAATAGTTAAGAGAAATTTAATGAGCCTAAGTGGAGCTTTCTTCCACCTAGTTACTTTTCTATGGAGGATTCAGTTTTACTTTTTAAATTAGGGATGGGGAGTCTCCCCCCCCTTTTGCCTGCATTCCCTCGTGGGTAATCTTCTGGGGGCCACAAGGCCATGGTGGTTGGGACCTGAGGAAAAAATGGGTGAAGCAGCAGCTAAGACTCTTTCTTCTGTACAGTAAAAACCAGAGACTTTTGCATACACCAACCCTACATACAGCTCCCTATCCTCCATCTAGGCATGCAAAATGCATTATCACAGATCAAGGACATATCCACTGTGCAAAAGCACTTGAGGAGAGTGCAGATTGAGGCTATTGAGGAGCATAGCCAGGGGTTTGGGAAAGGGACATGGCCTAGGAAGAATTCTGAGGGCCATATTTGGCCCCTGGGCATGAGTTATCTGAACTCTGGTTTAAATAAAGGCATTATACTCCTGCATTTTACCCCCCAAAATTGATCTAGCTGTCTTTCTGCAAACAGTAGATTGCACCACAAAAAAGCATAGCTTGTTATCTCTGGACCACTGAATGGAATCAGCTTGGGGGTTCTTTTGGGTCCTTTGCTGTTGTTGAGGCTCAGATGGCCTCAAGTGGCATGGAGTGCCTTCCATCAGCTTCAGCTGGTGGCCCAAGTGCTCCCCTAGCTGGACTGGGAAAGCCTAACTTCTGTTGTCTATGTTCTAGTAACCTAGGTTATATTACTGCAACATGTTCTGCATAGGGCTGCCTCTGAAGATGGTTTGGAAACTTCACCTGGTTTCAACTGCCAAGTTGCTCACCAGGGCAAGACAGATGGAGCAGGTTGTATCAATCCTGGCCCAACTGCACTGGCTGATTGATTAGTTTCTGGGCCCAATTCAAAGTACTGGTTTTGATCTATAAAGCCTTAAATGGCTAAGAACCACAGTACATCAAGGAGTGCCTCTCCCATGTGCACCATTCCAGACTCCATCATCATCATCTGAGGCCTTTTGTGTGACTCCTCCACAAGAGTTCCAGAGGGTGGCAACACGAGAACGGGCCTTTTCTGCAGTGGCTCCCCGTTTGTAGAATGATTTCTTCAGGGAGGTTCAGCTGGCGCCTTCATTTAGGCACCAGGTCAAAATGTCCCTCTTCAACCTGGTGTTCAGCCGATTAACATCCCGTACCCTTTCAAATGTGTTTCTGGGTAGGGGCAAGGGCAAGGGGGGCTATTGGTTTGTTCTGTTCTTGTTTTTATTATGTATTTTGGGTTTTTTTGTCTTGTATTTTTATGTTGTGAACTGCCCTGTGATCTACGGATTTAATAAATAATGGTAACAGTAACCAGCAGCCAGTGCCCCACTCCCAGTTTTGCAGGGCCCTTGGTCCAGATGTCCTCAGCTTGCCACTGTCATCACTACCCATTGCATTCTCCCCCAATCTGCATCAGAACCCAGAAGGAGAGGACAAGGCAAGCCAAAGCCCTTGCTCCTTTCTGTTATGAATGCCCATTCATTGCTCTGCTCATGGATTTGCATCTGTAGCCCTGCCCACAACCTTCATGCACCTGGAGAGAACAGACAGAGACCTCAAGGAGAAAGACACCTGGCGGTGCCCCCTCCCCTGGCTGCAGTGTGGGCCTGATTATACGAGGCCTTGCCCTTGCCCATGGCCCTGGCACCAGCAGCAGAAAAGATTGGCCATTAGCAATCATTTAACATATGTCACCGGAGCCCCTGACTTTATATTGCTTTTGTTGTTCCTTATCGGGCTGTTGTATCCAATAATGTCGTCCCGGAAAATGAATTTCCCACCAAGTGCGGCGGTGCCCGTGTAAGCCCATTCTCTATCAATATTCTGTTTTGCCCCCTCACCTTTCTGAGCAGACCCCACAAAGGAAAACAAGATTGCAAGAGACTCCAATGCTTCATCACATCGCTTTCAGTGGCCGGGGGGATTTCTTTTGTTCTGGTTTTAATAAATAGTGTTGACAATGATTGTGTTAGGGACTGCAGTAATTACAACCGCTGACCTGGGTCGCTGGGATCCTGCTGCTGTTGCTGCTCTGGGCTCCCTGGCGTCCCCCCGCCGACAGCTGCGTTGCTCTCTGCTTGGTTGCTGTGTAGAAGCAATTGATCCTGTTGGGCTAAAACGGGGGAGAAGAATAAGGGTGAGCGAAACATTCGGCGTGACTAATTCACCCAGTACGCGGCAATATCATCGCCGGTACACTCCGGTGCCCCCCAGCTCTTAGTCAGCTAAATCCTAATCGTTTGTGCTGATTCCCGAGTTAGCTGCTTTGCCCATCTGGACCACATGCTATGCCACCATATTGGCGGGGGATAGTGAATGGCTTTAATTCTTACCAGAGAGGATTATAAGTGTCTCCTTCAGGTTGCAATTGATTGTGATTTGCAGGAGCTCGTGCTAATGCAAGGTTCGCCCTCCCTTATCATTAGGAACACTTGGAGAGCGGCGAGATTAATGTTGAAGTGGAGGCTTAAAGAAGGGCACAGAGCAAGCCCCACATAGTAATTACATCGTGCCCATTGCTCAGCTCCAGTGATCATGGGGAAGAGTAATCCAGGTAATGGGCCCGTATTAGGAATGCCATGGAAGTGTGCGAGGTTTAGATCTGGAATTCAGCTATGCCCTTTCACAATGCTCAACGGATTTCTGAGCTACTAGATGTAAATCTGCAGCACACTTGGGGGTGGATATTTGCTGGAATTTTGGAGGACAGAGACAGAATCTCACTGAGGCTTGGACTAACCTAGTTGACCTTTGTGTTGTCTGTGAAACGTTCACTATGGGATTCAGGTTCCACACACAGATATGGCAAACTGAGTGGTTTATTTAACCAGGTTATGTGCCAGTGGTTTATTTAACCCTGGCTGATGTCCCAAGCACAGGCCCACAGCAAGGTTTTTCCTATTCTAAGAGAAGACATGAAAAGGGGAGTTTATATTTAAGAGGACAGTGTACAGTTAATTCAGCATTCCTGAATATAACAGACTTTCTATGGAGAGAGAGAGAGGGAGAGAGAATTTGGGAACCTAAAAATGCCTGTGATTTGAAAACTCCAGTTCTCATTGTCACTGAATGCTGAGGACACACCTCTGGAAGATAGATGAGAACTCTATTATCTCTCTTCTTAAGCAAGAACAGAACTTCTGACTCCGCTCAGATGCATCTAAGTCCAGTGCCACCTAGTGACTAAGCTACAAAATGACACTATCCACCCAGTCGCTAATGCAGGACAAATAATGTCAATTTTAGTTTGATTAAGTCAAGTTGCTATTGACTTGATTGGCAGTCCAGTCCACGTCCAGTTTAAACTTGAAGAGCTCTAAGAAAGGAGAGCATCAGGGACCTTGAAGATGTCTATCAACAGTCAGTACCTGGACAGCAGACCAAATAGGCACACACTGGTCACCTGGTCCCAGTCCCTGTCTTCCCTTCTCTAGGGAGATACATTATAATCTTTCATTGTGGGACTAGTAAAGCTTCCGGTGACATTGTCAAGTGTGCGATGGAGCCCAGCTCGGAACAGAATCAAGCTAAAGTGATGCATTTCCTATAATTTATCCAGCAATCTTGAAAATATATATAGCATTTTACTCAAGCTCATTCTGAATCGAGACAGGGGGAGTTTGCCCATCATCACTAATAATATCACTCTCTGTGCTCTAGATAAGAATGAAGAATAATTAAATCTGTATTCAGCAGTTACCCAAGGGGCATGCAAGAGAACCATATCATTTTTAATAACGAAGGAACAAAATTGCACTCCAGATACTTGAGAATACTCTGAACTGATCTCTTCAGAGAGGCCCTTTCCAGTGAGTGTGAGCAGCAGGGATTCTACAGTAAATTGCCACAGTGTTGGCAATGCGTTTTCTGTTTTATGGAAATGGGTTATCATTTATTTGTGCATATACTATTGCACTGTTTACACAGCACATCTCACTACAATGGTAAGGATGACACCAAGCTGCAATACTTGGGATTTCTGAATTGCCAGTTGAGAAGTCAAGGTGCATGTTGTATCAAGCAAATCAGAACTCAACTATTATAGCTGTTTCGGGATACTGAGAGGAGGGGAAGGCCAGACTCAGTTTGAGGGATCTGATGACATAATGCGCTTTGGTAGGTGCCCACGGACCCTGAAGGACTTATCTGGTAATAGGCAATAGCAATGCTCCAATGAGCACTGGGCAGGCAGTTTGGAAACACCATATACAGTATTTCCCACAATGCCTTGGAGCAGGGGTAGGGAATATTTCGCAGTCTGAGGGCCGCATTACTTTTGGGACAACCTTTCATGCCAGCGATGGGCAGTTTCTATCTCATTAACTAGCTCATTCTAAGCTGACTGGCAGCAGTTCTCTGTGGCTTCAGACAGAGATGTTTACCAGCCATATAAAGACATACCCGAGATTGACCTTCAGGCCATTTGCTTGTAAAGAAAGCGCTCTACCAGCGAGCTGTGAGCCACCTCAGCCACACACACGGGACATTTCTGAGCACATTTGTTGTCCGGGGGGGGGCAAGATATCCTTCTGTAAATATATCCCCATTTGTAATTTCATCAATCAAAGTCATACACATTTCAGTGGAGAGTAGCTGGCTTTTGAGCAGGCACCAGCAGCGGCTGCTGGCTCTGAGCACCGAGAAGGCTGAATGCGGAGCTATAGCAAAATCTCCACGTATCCTTGAAATATATCCCAGCTGGAATTATGAAAAGAGGAAGGGTTTCAAATGAAGGGTGCTCACTAAAAATGAACATTACATGCTGGCAAAATCAGTATCATGAGCCACGTAGTTTTGAACCTTGGCCATCTCACTAGCTTGTGCTGTCATTTAAAATGCTATGTTCTGCTCAGGGTAGAAGAGTCAGATCACTCATTTGTCGCAGGCAGAAAGCAGCCCCCATGGGTGAGTCCGGGGAGAAAAAGCAGTCACTGTGAGAAAAATTATATTGTGCACTAGCCTAGGGGGTGGAGGGAAAGTCATCCAGGGCAGATACTAATGTGGACCTGTCTAATTTGCAAATTCTGAACCAGGATGCAATGCAGCTATTCTATGAAATAAGCACGTCTAATCTGGAAATGCACACTAAATGTGTACAGATTTCCATGCAGACATCTTTTGTTTTTTCGTTTTTGTTTTTTAAATGCAAATGGGCGTGAAAATGAACCAAAAGAAACTTAAGCTCAGAAAGCTGAGAAGCTGAGAGAAAGTGGAATTGGCAGATCTCCATGGAATGATCAGAGCAGCAGTTCTCTTGCTGGAAGCAGCAGGTAGGAACATTACACCAGTTCTGAAAGGCCTACAGTGGCTCCCAGTACGTTTCCGAGCACAGGTCAAAGTGTTGGTGCTGACCTTTAAAGCCCTAAACGGCCTCGGTCCAGTATACCTGAAGGAGCGTCTCCACCCCCATTGTCCAGCTCCGAGGGCCTTCTGGCAGTTCCCTCACTGCGAGAAGTGAGGTTACAGGGAACCAGGCAGAGGGCCTTCTTGGTGGCGCCCGCCCTGTGGAACGCCCTCACATTAGGTCAGGAAATAAACAACTATCTGACTTTTAGAAGGCATCTGAAGGCAGCCCTGTTTAGGGAAGTTTTCAATGTTTGATGGTTTATTGTGCTTTTAATTCTGTTGGGAGGTCCCCAGATGGGTGGGGTATAAATAATCATCATCATCATCATCATCATCATCATCATCATCTGCCTTTTCAGTCCTACTCTGTATTGCCTACACTGAATGGCAGAGACTCTCTGGGTTTTCAGAAAATGAGTCTTTTTCAGCCCTGCCTGGAGAGGCCAGGAAATGAACCTGTGAATTTATGCATGCAAGGCAAATGCTCTACCACTGAACGTCTTTCTGTGTCACCATGCCTCTTCTCTCTCAAAAAAGTTACAATGTACACCATCCTGCCCAACTTCTGATCCCCCAAGTCCAAGGCAAATGCACAACCCCCGATATAAATTGCCATTTGCCAGGTGCCCGAGAAGCCTTCTCTTCTTACAGTCCCAAGCAACAGCAAAAGCAGAAGGTTTGAGCCCCTGGAGAACCACCATTCATGGTGAGTGAACAGTGCTTCGCTTGGTAGGTTGCAAAGCATACAGCAACATATTTACACAGAAGGTTGCTAAATATTAGAGCCTAGTGAAAGAGTTTGCTGGGGGCTCGGGAGAAAGAAGAAAGAGAAAAGTCACCATGGATCTCAGCTATGACCTTAAACTGAATTTAAATAAAGAGGGGGACCTTTCTCTAGGTACAAAAGGATTAAGGAAAATAGTTTGACTCTCCATCCCTGCCCTCTTATCTTAGTTTCAACAGATCCACTGCTGTCTGCAGATAAATGCCTCGGGGGTCACAGGGTTGCCAGGAAGAAAGAGACAAGGGAGCTGAGGTTTGTCGCTCGGTTGACATGATTTCTAACTCCTTCTGCTGTTTGTTATAGGAAAGGCAGTTTAATATTGGGACCCAGTTCAAAAATCTAGTATCTCTGTCACCTGAAGGATCAAGCAGTTGCAAAGAGGATATTTTAAAAGCTCTGATTCAATCAGCATTTGTGCGTTTCCACATTTCGAAGGTTTAAGTTTCCTGAAGGCACCCCACATTTGCACTTTTTCTGTCTCTGTCGCTTCCTCCTCTAGTACTTTGAATATATGAGGCAATGCCTTTTGCAGCTGGTCCATCTTGCCTGCTGTTAGCCACTCTGACTAACATAAGAAGAGCCGGTTGGATCAGGCTGAAGGGGCCAATCGGGTCAAGCATCCTGTTCTCACAATGGCCAATCAGATGCTTGTGGGGAACCCTTGGACAGGAGCCGAGCACAAGAGCATTTTTCTCTCCTCTGGTTTCCAGCATCTCCAACTGTGGAGACAGAGCATAGCCATCACAGCTAGTAGATGTTAATAGCCATGGCCTGCACAACTTTCTCTAATCCTCTTTTAAAGAAATCCAAGTTGGTGGGCATCATTGCCTCCTGTAGGAGCGAGTGTCATAGTTTAATTATGTGCTGCATGAAGAAGTACATTCTTGCATCTGTCCTGAATCTTCCAACATTCAGCCTCATTGGATGTCCATGAGATGTCCCAGGTTGAATCCTCAGGTAGGGTGGATGGCCCAGTGGTCCGG